GTGCTACTGGCCCTCTGTCAGGGATGGGAAACCAAGATGCTGATTTATGTGAAGAGTTTGGAAACTAGTAGGGCTGTTAGATGTCTGACCTGAAGGGTAAGACAGAAACCCATGGTACCTAAGACCTAGTTAGGTACCCAGTTAGCAACTTCAGCTGATTTTAATTCTGAAGCTCCCAGGAGCTTTGCAAAGATGTTGAGGAACTAGGTCAGATCTGACACAGTCCTAATGTTAGTGGGATCTGAAATGCAAGATACAGCTTCACTGCTGGGAGTGTGTTTCTTGTGTTTCTGTATTGCTTTGGTTCCCAGTCTAACACAGAAAGACCACAAGTCCCAGTTTAATAGAGTTGTGCAGTTTTCCACATAAGGTGTCAATGTGTGAAGGAATTGTTTCATGGAGCCAAATTTTTTTTTTCCTTTCCCTCCCTCCCCCCTCTCCTCATTTCACTCACCACACGCTGTTTTCCTTTTCTCTCTTTTTTTTTTTTTTTTTTTAAAAAAAAACCCTTCAAAATATGGACTCAAGTCTTATCACTGAAACCAAACTAAAATATTCAGTGCTTTTGTGTGTGAGTTGGCCTTCTATACTAAGTGCTGAAAGCCAAATGCTTGAAAGAGGACACTCTTGAATAAATACAGTCTATCTGAAATCCCTCCTTCTAGAGCATAGAGGGGAGGAATGGGCTGGAGAGAGGGAGTTTGCTTCCCTCTAGGTCAGAGTCATGTGAGGATAGATATTTGACTTTTTTTTCTTTTTTCATTTATATTCTTTTACTTTACCCTCCATGTTTTCATGTTTAATCTGAATTAATCTTAGTCATCCATCCCAGCCAAAGCACAGGACACGTTTGCATAAACCATTCATCACATACTTCTGAACAATAAAAAATGCACAAGACACTGTTCATGGACAATTCACCAAAGGAGCTGTTTGCTGCAAACAGTCCAGGGATCTTTGTGGAAATGGTCTAAAAAGCAGGTCTGACATAAGACATCCTGTCTCTATTGTTAGTGGTCTGACTGGAGGGGACCAGTGAACTACCAACCCTCCACTTGGGGGGTCGAGAGCATGCAGTGAGGACAGGCAGCCTGAGGAAACTTCTTTGAAACAGATTTGGGATCAGGCTCCATCACAGAAACAAGTGTGGGGGATCAAAATAGCCTACTGGCTCAGCCAGTCTAGCTCACTGACAGTGTTTTCCTAATGGGACTTCCATGACATCCCTTAGAAAATTTTCCAAAAGATTCCACTGCCCTAAAGTCTGCCTATGATTTCCAGGTTAATGCTCATTCCCACTGAGATATCCCACTGTCCAATTTTTATTTAAAGTGCTGTCTCATTTGTCATCTTCACCTTTTAAATACATCTAGGGGTTTTTAGCCAGCCTCTCTCAGACTTTGTTTACTTACATGGCACAGAATTATCCCTTTCAGAGTTTTCTTAAGGCTTACTCGTCAGTCTCTCTAGGCTCATAAAATGTTTTTTCTTGTGAGTTCTTGGTCTTCTTCCAAACTGTCAATAACTTTCTAGGAACGTTATGCCTGGGATTTAGGGCAGTTCTGTATGCTATGGATGGCCAGTGACGGTAGGGGCAAAGAGAGGTCTTCGGCTGATGTCAAGAGAGCAAAAGGAAATGTTTCTCTGGGAAGTCTCAGGCTCTGACTGTACCAGATGGCAGCCTGTAAAGACACAGAGAAGAGAGAAGTTGGGCAAGGCTCATAGCTAGCTGTAACCAAACATGAGTACAGAAGCTGGGTTTATAACACTTCACAATGTCTTTGTGATTTCAGGGACTGTGCCAGGGGCAATACCCCAGTTTACAATCACATCATGGTAATTACTTTCTTATCAGTGATAACATATCCATCCCACAGCTTTACCAGACATACTAAGTGGTCTACAAGGTGGGTCTGGCTGCTGGTCTTTGTTCTTCACATAACAGAAACTGAAGGGAGGAGAACTTCCCATGAGGACTCAGAGGTGAAAGATCTAGGGCAGAGCCACTGCTACTCATCTCCTCCCTGCAAATTCTCTGATCTTTCTGAATGCTAAGAAAGGCTGTTGCTATAGAAACCGGTGGGGAAAATGTACATTATGTCATGTTTTATATATTTTTCCAAGGAGACCCTTTAATCTGAGCCTGCCACTGTGTAATTTTACAGAAACAATAAAGATAATAAAACCCCTAAGAGTAATAGTGATTTCAAATCAAATAATAATAACAACTTCAAAACCACCTCTGTCTGTAACCTTCTACCATAGCCATGACACTGCGGCAGGGATAGTAAGGCAGCCCACAATATGGTACATGACAGGAGGGTACATCTCAGGCAGCAAAAGGTGTGATGAGAGGTGGGTGGTGGGTTCTACACAGCAGTAAGTGGCAATTAACATTTGAGAAAGGACAAAAAAGCTAAATAAAATGTCTTCAGGTAGAAAAGGATGAAATAAAGGTGAAAGGTACATTTTGTAGCATACACTCTTAACATATCTTTTCTTTACTCACCCAACCTCCTATTGCCATCCTACCTTTGTGAGCCCTCTTCTGAAGCTCTTTTCTGTTCTGCTGCCCTTTTAAAAATTATACCACAATTTCCCACTTGCCTTTGTGATAATAACAAGCCCTTTGACCTCCCAGACAATCTATTGCACCCTGAGGTCTCAAGGAGACAATGCTCTTTGTGAGGCTGCACCATGAAAGCCTCTTTCTAGCACCAGGTTGGCCTGATGGCAACAGTCCTCCTGGGGATCCTTCAGAGCAGCAGCCTAATTTAGTCCTCTGGATGTCAAAACAGACTTTCGCTCTGCCCTTCCCACCCTCAGTTTATTTACTTAATTCACCATGACCACGATTTCCTTCCTGATTTGTACTGACCCTGTGACTTAATTAGGTTTTTGTCATTATTTATAGTAGCTCCTATAACGTTTTGACTTGTAATTTCTTCAGGACAAGGACTTTATTGCTGTGTAGAGCAACGTACAAAATAAATCTCAGCCCTGTCTTGTTCCAAGGCTGTGACTGATCCTCAGTCTGGTATATGTCCCTGCTCATTGTCCTTAAAAAACATGAAAAATATCAGTGAAGCTTTGTATCGCTAATGCTATGTTTTGTATACTGCAACGCAGGACAAGTTAGCTGGTGGAATAAAGCAACTTAATTATGCTAGGTAAGACCAAGTAAGGGTACACCTGCTCATAGCATCTTTGCCGGATGGATCCCATCCTCCAGACTTGGCCTTAGTCCTGCTCATTTTCATGATTTCTTGGGCTACAGTATGTTCTGTTTAGGTCCTTTGAATCCCAAGGGGAAAAGTAAAATAATAGTTTTTCTTTCCATTGCCTTCAAGGCCTGGCTGTAAGTCTGCTCTTTGCTCCTTTCAGTGTCTTGCATTTTCTGCACACACATAATAGTTTCCCATACAGCCCTTCCCTGTTCTGTCTTACAGCCAGACACATTCAGTGTTTAGCAGGGAAGAAACAATTCCCATTTCCTCTTCCTGCTCCCTCTGTAGACAGGTTCTCTGTTTTTCAGTCCCAGCCCTTTTCACAGAACATAGTATCTGCTAACTGTGAATAAACATACACATACTGTCTGGTTTAGGGGCTGTAAGCACTTCTAGAGCCCAAATAATATATGAATATTGATAGAATGACTGTAATGATATAAAAAAGCAAAAAATAAATGTCCTTAGGAGCCTGATAATCTAACTTCAAAAGCAGTTGCCATCAGTAACGAAATGCAGAGAGAAGACTAGCATTACTTTAATAAGATTTCCTGCTTATTGCCATTTATTTCTGTGGGTGACTGTAATGCTGCTTCACCTTCATTCTCAGCCAGTTTCTCAGGTGCTTCTCACCCTGAGCATTGACAAGTCAAGATGGACTGTGAAGCTGGGGCTCACTGGCCTTCCTGTGGGATCTAGTATATCTCTGTGAGCACCTGCTCCTTGGTCTTCAGCTTCCCCTACTCTTGTTGTTACTGCAATGTTGTTTTTCCATGCCCTGTGGCTTCATAGCCATGGTGCAAAAAGCAGGAATGGAAGGACATGGAAGGGTGAGGAGAGCTGACGTCTTTGTGGAGATGGAAGGACAGTAGAGAAAATAATTGTAAGGTCAGTGTTGTAAGACAAAGGCAGAGACTTGATTATGAAGGCTCTTAAAATTCAGCTTTATCCAGCAGGCCAGGGAGAGGGGATATAGGCTCAGTAAGGCAACACATGGTCTGTAGCGCAAGGCATTCCCCTTTAGCTTTCTGGAGGCCCTTAACACAATTGATGGCCGGTGCTCATGCCTTTCTCACTCCATCTTCAACCCCACCATGTTCCTGTGGCACATGAGTCCCAGAGCTTGATCACTGGTGCATTCAGTAGTGATGTACTTGGGTGGAGAGTCTGTAGAGAGGTGGGCATGTGCTCAGGGACACCAAGACATGGTTGAGAAATGTAGGTGCTAAGATGGAGACGCTGCTGAGAGCAACAGTGATGTCTCTGCAAAGACCACATTAAATAAAAGCAGGCATGACCATGCCAGTTCTGTGCATGAAGGACAGAGTTGTTGATCTCTTGTGTTGGAGGCACTGACTGGTTCTGCTTGTGAGGATATCTGTGGGAGGGAGGGAGGACAGCA